TTCTCAGGATCTGAGCAGTTTTCTCAGGATCTGAGCAGTTTTCTCAGGATCTGAGCAGTCTTCTCAGGATCTGGTTGCAGTCAGCACAGACAATCCTCACCATTTCTTACTCCGAGCACTCGGGAAAGTTTCCATGTTTCTCTAAAGAGTTGCCTGAAGCTCAAAGAAGAGCCCACATGAAAACACAAGACAGACAACATTGGCACTATTTGCATTATTTGTAAAAAGGAAGGTTAAATACATTCCCATTTCACAGATGTTTCGAGGCTCATTGCTAGAAGAAGTCTGGCACGTCCTGCGGAAATGTGACGGTACAAAACAGTACCTTCAGGGTCCCAAAAACATACTGGTTTGGGGAAACATCCCCCACCCCCAACAGAGGGAAATGAGACACAGATCATGTATTTTCCTGATGAGAAACCAAGGTTTCACAGAGAATCAGTAAACATGCTCATGCTCCCCACCTGTTTTCTATTTAGAGCAAAAAAAGGCAATTAATATGACTTTTTAAGCAACGATTAGTAGAAGAAACCTACAAACAGAGATTCCTAATTGAAAATGTCTTTACTCACATGAGACAGAGGATCAAAATATGACAAGACCACTAAGCACAGTCTCTCCCAGCTGCACAAACCATTCCTTAACAACCTTCAGATTAATAAACAAAGACATGCTCTAGCCATTTCATCTCCCTCCTGGATTTAGCTGCATACAAAAGGCAAACAGGAGAAAGTCACCCTCTGACTTAACTCCCCTTCAGAATGGGGCTCCCAAGTAGTACATCATGTTAATTTGGGAACCCCTCCCTCTGAGCAGACACGCAGAGAGATACGAGGGGGGAAATCTCCTCGCAGGAAGAAGCTGATTTAAGGGTATCATTTATTAGCAAGTAAAAGGACATTTCCCCTCTCAGTGGTGAAGCACAACACAAGCCAAGGGTAAGCCATATGGGTGAAGCCTTTGTGTGAGGGAGAAAGCTGGCAGGGCTCCACGGCTCTAATTGAACTATTACCATATTGTGAGAAATGAAAAAGTCAGGAGGGCTGGAGGATCTGCTCTCCCAGGGCCAGTTCATGTCATGTGGACAATTAAGTGAGTAACAAAGCGTATTCACCAGGAGAGCAATTCCACCATTTGGACACTGGCTTGTTTTAAAGAACATAGGTGCTCTTCTAGTTCAATATTGCACTTAATTTGACACTTGTTGCCATGAAACCTTCCAAATCTAAATCATTTGTAGCAAACAATGCAACGCTTCTCCTTTAATTGCTGGCTCAAGACTTTTCCATGTAGTTAATAAGGAAAGACACGGAACGAAAACGCTCGAGTGAAACCCTGCAACACATAAAAGCTTACCATAAAAACTGTCATAAAACAGAAAAATGCAAAAGATTAAGTACAAAATTAATTTTGCTCAAAAGACAGGCTTGGGAAAAACTTCCCAAGCGTTAGACACTGCACACACACAACTGGGACTGGAGGGAAACACAATAAAACCAGGTGATGAACAGAGAGAATCTGCAGTGGTTGCTCATAAATAAACTTTACAGTGTCATCTGGTTACTTTGTGGGCAGAGAGAAGTGGAGTTGTATGAGGAGTGAAAAAAAATAAATCCCAGTCTTACAAAAACGTGAGGCAAAATCTTGTTCTTACCATTCTGTTCATCCAGCTCATTCCCAATTTCCTGTCCCATTTGCTTTTGCCGTGATATGATTGAAGAAAGAGCATCCAGTCCTGCATCTTGTTCTGCACCAGAAAAATATATTAGATTACATGAAAAAGTTGCTGATGTGCCAGGCTACACAAACTACGTAGAAGTGAATAAAAAGATCCACTCTGTGCTTAGAGAGCTAAAATGTATTAAGTAAAATACATCAACACAACATGAAAACTAATCATTATGGGAACAGCGCTCTTAAAATAATGGAAATGATGGGTAATTAATTCCTCTGCTCTGGCTGGGACACTTTACTGAGGGTCCCAAAAGAAAAAAGAAAATAAAATCCAAGAATTCAACATTCAGTTGTTACTCAGTCATAAATGCAGGGGATTTTCTGGCACACAGAGTGAGCTCCTGATTAGCCTTCTTAAATTTTCCAAGCAACTTTTAACATGGATAAAAGAAAACAGGTGATGCAAACACCAAAGAATTCAAATGGTTTTTTTAAAGCTGCAAGAGGATCCAAAATGTGTGAGAGAACCTGAGGGAGAGGGGACACAGGGGACAGATAAAATTGATGTGCTGCCACCTCTGCAGACACTCCTTTGTGAGGAGCTGCCAGTCTGTTGGCACCACATAGGCCTCAGGAAGCCCCTTATCCAAAATGTGCAGCTCTCCTTGCCCAAATCTGCCAGGAAGTGGCACAAGAAGAGCTGCAGGAGGCTGGAGGGTCGGTGCTCTGACCACCTGCACAGCAGTGATGCTGCACAGAGCAAGACTGGCAGTGGCTGCACTCCAGGATGGGCAGGACCCCCTTCCCTTCAACAGGATGAAGGTCTGGTCCCCCAACACCTCTTTCAGCCTCCCTTTAATTACTCCTGGTGTAATTAAAAACTCAGGTTGAGGTTTCTTCTGGACCATCCAGACAGAGCTCAGAACATCTGAGCAGCATCTACAGGTATTTCCATGCAGGCTGAAGTGGGTCTTATCTGGAGTCTGATTTCATTCAGTCACTTCCAACACTTTGATTGCATGGAAATGACCTCATTAACCACCTGATGTCCTCAGGCTGAGGTTTTCCAACACTTCCAAAGTTACAGATTCCTTAAGGATGATGAGGGCCAAAAACTAAAGACTCCTTTTGGATGAGTTCATTCCCACCTAGTTCCAACTCAACAATCCATCTCATGCACCCACCAACACCACTACACTCAGTGCAATTACTGTGATCACCACTGCAAACCAAAACCATGAACATGGTCAAAATCAGGTCTTTCAAAATCTGATTTAAGAAGATGCTTCTAGTTAAGAACATGGCAAGCACAATGCTGCTCCTGCAAACACAGAAAACATCCACCTGGAACTGTTATGTTTGACAGCTCCAGATAAGAAAATTCCAGCACAGGTGGGTGTGTTATTATTCAAATAAGGACTCCTCTCAGAGTGCCAGAGATGCTCACAACTACCACAAAGACTCCTGTACCTTCTATGATCCTTCTCTGCTGCTGCCTGAGATCATCAAAGCCAAGCCCTCTGGTTTCCTCCGGTTCTTCCAAGAGCCACGGGTTGGTGACACCTCGTTTGACCCCTCCTGTCATTAGGCTGGATCTGAAAATAACTTCAGTAAGTAATTTTCAACACAACCCCCCCCAACTGTTGTATAATTTGCCCCTCCCAGAGAGGCTGACAGACAGCAGGACAAGCATTTCCTGCACTCCATGGGGTTCTCTGCAATCCCAGAAGAAATCAGACAGGAAAGAATCCCACGATCTCCAATAACAAATCCATCTCACAGGCCCCATAACACTGCCACTGGAAGTGGTAAGGAAGGAGAGAATTCATTTTGCAGTGAATAATCAAAGTACAGAGTGAAATGTATCACATATTGTATAATACATTGAAATGTATACCATGTACTGTATCATATATTGAAATGTATACCATGTACTGTATCATATATTGAATGTACACAATGTATTGTATAATATATCCATATCAAATGGTGTTTGCAGGTAGAACACACAGCATTCAAAACTGCCACAAAAAGAATGTATATTCCTGGGAATACACATCGTTGTTCCTGTGTTTGTTCCACGACCAAAACACTGCTACAGACTCAAAGCTTCCAACAGCAAAAGGATGCATTCTGCTAATACAGATGCAAATCAGATGAGACTTCTAATTCCCTGCAATCCTGACTAACCCTCAACAGCAACATTGCTGCATTTCAAAAACTGCTGATGGACATCACACAGCTCCCCTCCTACACCTCCTAATCTGGCATCGACCTGAACAAGAAGCCAGGAACACACACTTTTGAATGAAAAAATAATCAAATGATGGGTTTTCTTTTAAAAGAATTATGACTTGAGGTTGTTCATGTTACAGACAGTTCCCTGGTGACAATGGAAACCAAATTCTCCATGTTCAGGGCACATAAATCCAAGCAGTAAAATGAAACACCACTTAAGTGTTTTTCTCAATACCAGATTTCTGGTTTCTGCCTTGTAGCTCTTCATGGGTTCCTCCTACAAGACAAATCTTGTATGAGAGACTGAGAATCACCTAAACCCAGAACTGCAACTCAGGTTTGGGGACGAGTCGTGGTAAGATTTGTTCCTCCACAGCAGATTTTGCTTTCTGCTTTGTTTTTCAAACTCTGTTTTTTATTCCCATTTTACCTTTTCCCTGTTCTTTCCCAAAGCAACTCCACAAAGAACACAAGAACAGAGAGCATTTTCAGGGTCTCTCAAATTCTCAAGTTTTTTAATCACACTAAGAGCTAAGTTTATATTTTGTAATTGTTTTGCTTGTTTAATCGAGTCCAGGTCCTCCTCCCTGAGCATTCTGTGGCCAAAGCCCCGTGTCAGGAGTTCACTCTGCACGAGGATCAGCGGGGCCAGGAGGGGCCAAGAACCTGCTGACATGGGCTCAGGGTGAAGGGGATCCAAGCACAGCCCAGAACTTGCGTCGGAGTTCCTGGAGGAATTGTGGTGAACTGGGGACATCTCCTGGCCGGGAGATGGATCAGCACTGCTGGAAAACAACCCAGCACTGAGTGAGTCCAGGCACACTTCCCACCACACTCACAGCCACACGTGAGAGCTCTTCACCTCTTCTCACTGAACGTTATAGTGTGGTCATGGGACTTCATCTCTTTATTTGTCACAATTAAACAGGAATATTTTTGCTAGAAGCAACTAAAAACCACTTATTGTAAACTACACCATCTCCCTTAAGCACCCTGGTGACGCTGAACACCAGAGCACACCCAGCCTGCCCTGCTGTGCCACAACCAGCTGGATGTCCTGGGCAACAGCACAGAGGAGCTGGGATTCTTCTGCATTCCAGTCCTCACACCTCCATTAAAACTTACAGGTACTTATCAAGGCTGGGAATCTGGCTTGGTTAGACAAAGATACACACACCTGAAATGCAGTTTTACACATCACCTAGCTTTCTTCATTGCTTTGGGGGATTAAATATGCTCTTCTATTTCCCAGTCTCACAACTGCCACCAGGTTCACAATGGAACACGATGGACACTGCACTTCTGAAGGTGGAAAAACCATTTCAGTCGACCCAGTTCAGCAGTTCAATTAGCAAGGATACAAAATCCAGGGGAACATCTGACAAAATTACTTAACTAAAGCAAACAGAACATAAAGCTCTCTGCTTGCTAAAAAGAGCACAACTATTTCTGCCCGTTAAAAAAAAAAGCCAAGGCAAGCAAATTTGCAATAATTTGCAGCGCTCGCTCCCTCCCTCCCCCCAGTGATCTGCCCTGTTCCTGTAGGTTGGGTCATGACAAGGGGTCTGCTCGTTACAATAATCTTTTTGACATGTTTGGTAACTACCTTCCCACACAACACAGCAGAACTTCCTCCTTCCTCTGATCTTGCCATGTTTCGCTTTGGTGGTGTGAAGATTAAAGCTTATCCAATTAGCCACCCACTGCCTCCGCCAAGTTAATCACGTAAATCTTGGAAACCGTCACAGAGCAGTGGAGTGTGGGGATGGCTTTTGATTATAGGAACAGATTTAACTAATTACAAGGCTCAGCAATGCACCCAAGTATAAAAGATGATGGGGGTTAAAATCAGGGAGCTATGTCACCGCTTAACAAGGGAGGGCTTATCTTCCAGAGGGCATTGTTTCACTGGTAATTCTTATAACACTTCCCAAGTAACTTAGATTAGTCAACCAGCACTTACTTTAGACCAAGGCCACACATCGAGGCTTAGACCGATCAGCAAGACTGAGTTTTAAACAAAACCTGGGTCATGTGACAGCTGGGTGGATGATCACTTGAACATTCCCTTAACGATACTGTCCCAACTGGGGTCTTTGAAGCACCCAGGGCACCTCAGCTTGGCTTCACAGGTCAGTGCCCACGGCCACAGTGAAGGGCCAGGGCATCCTCTCACTTACGGTTTCACTGCTCACACTGCCAGGCAGTGTGTTTTTAGGAGGCTCCAAGCTAATAAATAAAACAAGTATCATTTTAAAGCACAAAACAAAAGCACTCTCTCTCCCTCTAAAAAGTCTGGGAGAAGCCACATGAGCACAGGCACTTCCAAATCCCTCCAGTTACTATCCCAGGTGGAGATTTCCCCAAAAGAAGGGGCAGCATTCCCTGCAGGTGGCAGAGGACCTCCCAGCCCCACCAGCACAAGAACTGGTGTTCTCATGTTCAAGGAAATGCTGTGTTGCTCTTGACACCATTTACCTGTGGTTGGGTTAACTGGTCCCACTGGCTTCAAGGGCTGGGAGCTGCACATGTTGGCTGCCTCATGGGATGCCAGACAGAGGATTTCCAGAACAAAACCACCCTTCAGCTGCTCCAGGACCACCAATTCTTGCCCACAACACCAGCACAGCACCTTCCCACCACAGAGCAAGTTGTTCCCACCCACCTCATGCATCAGTTTTGCTATCAAATATTACTGTCTTCTTTCTACACCATCCCTTATTTTCCAAGCAAGACTGGACATAGCACAATATGAAATATATTATAACCCAGCTCATACAGTTCTCAGTGAAACAGTCTCAACTCTACAGCCCACCTGCACCCCTCAGGAATGAGAGCTATGAGAAAGAAGAATTCTTTCTAGAAAGAAGCAGCACCTTGTATTATTACACCCAGAGAAAAGGCAGAGGGACAAACCCACTCCTGTGAGACCAGTCCAGGTCACAAAATGCTCAACAACTCCCTCACCTGCCCCTCAGACCCTGTGACGAGCCCTCCTGGGCCCATCCAGAGGCTCTGGGCAGGTCTCACTTGGCATCTGTGCCCACTGCAGCCAGGCCACAGGGACCCAGGGACACAGCTGGGACAGGAACACCCTGGGCAGGGAACCCCATGGAGTTCTGACCAAACTTCAGGGGTAAAACCCACACAGGAGCTCAGCCCTGAACCTGCCCTGCTACAGACACTCCTTCCTGAGGGTGCTGAGCCCTGAGCCTCAGGGACAGCCTGTGGGCTCAGCCTGAAGTGCCTGAAATTATGGAGTTTGACTTGCTGGGCTTAGGAATCCCTCTCTGCTATTCCTTACAAATCCAAGGATATACAGACAGACATCCCAGGTACAGAGACACAGGTGAGGGGGTGAGGAGGGTGTTGGACAATCCTGACCACATGGCCAAAGACACAATAATCCTGGAAAAAGCCTGCCCCACCCCTAGATTTGATCTCACAACTCAAGCCTCAGGCACTATCAAGGATGGGCTCCTGGAGGGACAATTCACCTCTTCTCCCACCCTTTTCATCCACCTCCCAGACACCAAAGGCTAATCTCACTCCAGGTCAGAACACCATAGCTGCAGCTGGGAGGGCTTCCAGCAGTAACTGGGAGGGAGGAAGGACACCAGGAAGGAGTTTTAAAGGCACTTAAACAACTATTTTTTATTTTATTTCCTGAAGAGCATTTGCCCCTCCACAAACAAGAGTCAGACTCCCAAAAGCATTAACACCTGATGGCTCATGGATTGAACCCGGGCACTTGATGCCTGTTTGGCATTTGGCAAAATTCCTGTTGGGATCAAAAATGAATCACCTCACATCTGACAGAAACGTGTTTAAACAGGAAAAATGGTAACCCACGTTGAAGAAAAATGAACTCTTCTAAAATGTACCCATGGTAGCTCTTGCTGAAGGTGCTTTGTGTCACTCAGGTATGAAAAGTTTTCTATCTTCTTGAGAAATTCCAAGAGAAATCAAGAAAGGCCAGTTAATTTGTTTGTTCTCTGGTGATTGACATGCACAGTCTGTTGACCTGGTCAGACAGGAGGAGGAATATTTCAATTCCTTTGTCCTCACAAATGTTTAAAGTCTCAAAGAAGTTCAACATGTGATTCCCAGAAAGCCAACATTTCTGGTTGCTTTTTCCACTTCTGCTTTTCAAATGGTGTGAATCCACAGGGAATTCTGCCCCATTCCAGTCTCTGTTACAACAACCTGCACAGATCTCTCTCCAAGGAGAAAAGAGGGGAGAAGATACTGAAATTGCTACTGAAAACCAATTACAGGAAATTTAACTGACCCTGCTCAAGGGGAGTCACGTCAACAGCACAACCCTTCCCCTGGAAAATTCCAGTTGCATCTTAATTAAGGCTGACACGCCGGAAGGTAAAGGAATGCTGTCCCAAAGGAATGGGGTGTCCTGCCCCGTGTGCTGGCCCCAGTTGTCACTTGGGATCAATAGTGGAGCATTAACAAACTGTACTGCACAACCAGGAACAGCTCTACAGCAGCTTTCAAAGGAGGTAAAACTCACTGAATGGTGACCGAACACAAACGCAGATTAATTCTGGTGAAACCCTCCCAGCTCCAGGCCATGGGCACAGCAAATATGTGATCAGTGGTGCAAGAAGGTTAATGAAAGGAAGGACTGCTGGAAAAGTGTGTGCTGTCACATCAGAGATGGATTAGATACGGAAAACCAGCCCAAAACCCAGGACAAGTGTCACTGCAAGAACTTCATCAAACAACAGGTGCTGATTTTTCTAATGCAGGGGAAAAGCTGAGGCTCAGCCTCAGACACAGCCCAGAGTGGGCTCTGCCTCCCAGGGAAACCCAAAGCTGGGTCACAACTCTGCAAGGATTTTAAAGGACCCCTGAGCTGGCAATGGCAGCTGAACCCCATGGAATGTGTGGGCTCTGAGCCCCAGACCAGCTCCTTCCAGCTCCTTCCAAGCCCTTTCCAAACTCCTTCCCTACCAACCCACACACAAGCCAGGCTCAGGCAAGAGAGGAAGGTTGGACTTACTGGCACAAGATCCAGGCCCTGACTATGTCTCTGCCTGTACCTCTGAAAACAAGACCCAAGAGGGAAACTTTGGAAGGGGTGTGAATTCACCAGACAGAATAGTTGGAGTAATTTTATCCATTTTTAGTAAGAAGTTAAAAGAGAACTATAAAACAGCAAGTGTTGCAACACTAGCATAGAAATACTCTCTCTGATGTTATCTTGTGCTGGAAAATACTGGTTTCCCTGATCATTTCTAATGGAGCATGAAATTATCATGGGATTTTGATGTTTTCCTCCTGTTTGCCTTGACACCTTCTTGCTTGAATCCTCACCCTGTGCCTGCTCCACAGAAGTACCATGACAACACTGTCCTGCCACAGCAGGGATGGCCACATTTCCAAAGGTCACATCACAGAATATCACACAATGTCACAGAATCACAGAATTTGGCCAGTTGGAAGGGACCCACAAGGATCATATCAGTTAATGGACTGCTCAGAGCAGGGGACACAAAAGGGCTTCACAGTCCCTGTAAACATTTTGCCCACTTGTTATTTCCCATGTTGTGGTTGACTCAGAGATAGGTGTAAGAGCCACCACACCAACTGGGTCTGCACAGGGCTCTGGAGAATCCAAACCTCAAACAATTGCTGTATTCCATCAAAGTCTGCAGCTTTATGACCTGCAGCATGTGCTGCACTGATGTCTGGTTATGCAAGCATGACAAACAAATCACAATCACAAATCACGGGATGGTTTGGGTTGGAAGGGACCTTAAATTCCCATTCCACCCCCTGCCATGGGCAGGGACATCTTCCACTAGCCCAGGTTGCTCCAAGCCCCGTCCAACCTGGCCTTGGACACTTCCAGGGATGGGGCAGCCACAGCTTCTCTGGGCAACAAAGGTAGCACAAACATCAACACTAGAGAAGGAGAGCACTGAAACCAACCCCTACACCACGTCACTGAACAGACCCTCACAAAACACAAATACAGATGGGAATGCAGAAAACTATCAGCTGAACTTTGAGTATCTCTTCTACCTGCTCCAAGAGACACAAAGAAAACAAACTGGAAGAAAAAAAATCTTATTTTCAGTCATTGTGGTAGGACACAACACTCACACTGGTACCCAATTTTTTACTACACAATAGCTTCAAAGTTGTCTCTGGCACAGCACAGCACTGATTCTCAAAGATATCTACAGGGAGGGGGCAGAGGATGGCCCAGGCTCTGCTGGGGGGGCCCAGCAATGGCACAGGAGGAACGGGCAGGAACTGATGCCCAGGAAGCTCCACCTGGACAGGAGGAAGAACTTCTTTGCTGGGCAGTGACCCAGCCCTGAACAGGCTGCACAGGGAGGGGGTGGAGTCTCCTCACCGGGGATATTCCAGAACCCTCTGGGCACACTCCTGTGCCATGTGCTCTGGGATGGCCCTGCTGAGCAGGGAGTGGGACCAGTGACCCACTGTGGTCCCTTCCAGCCTGACCCAGTCTGGGATTCTGTGAACATCAGAAAAAAGGCTCACATATTGCCTCAAAAGTGCAAGGACTTAAAAGTATATGAAGTTTTTTTCTAAGACTGAGAAAGGGGAGAAAGTTCCTCAGGAGGGCTCTACCGCTCCCTCCCACAGGTGACCTTCCACGTGCACGTGCACAGTGCAGGGCTGTACCTGCTGCAGAAAGGGTCCAGTGAACACAGTGTGTTAGGAAACGCTGCCACTCAGAAGCACAAACTAAAAATTAAAAGAAAAATCCGTATTTCTATTGCATGTGCACACTGCAGCAGCACAGTCCCACTCCTCAGAGGCAGGAGCTGCAGCAGGGCTCAGCAGAGGGGAGGATGCTCTGCTCAGCCACAGAGTGACCCAGAGCACACAGGGAGCTTTGTGAGGGCTCCCAGGGCACAGCACAACCCCCCTGGGACCCACTGCAGCCTCAGGGCTCTGATCCTACACATCACCAAAAGGGGTGCCTGGGCCCAAAAGCCATGAATCTTTGAACATTTCTGAGAAAGGATGTTCTCTTTTTTAAAAATATGAGGTTTTAAAATGAAATTTTACCAGTTAAGAGTAATCTCATTGACCCTGGAAACAGAGCGAGCTCTGCCCTCAGAGACTCCAGTTCCGTTTCTCCTCTGCAGGACAGATCTCCTGAATGTGCAAAGGAAAAATTAGAAAGAGCAAATGCAATTATCTGTGCTGGGGTTTAGCCAAAATGGGTAACTCTCACATGGAGCAGTACTGGTGACCTGTGTGGGGTCAGCAGACAGGTAAGTCACACTCTGACGGGGGGGTTCCATTTTTTGCATGAGTGTTTGCTCAGGGATCAAAGCAGATCACCCAGGGAACCATGAGGATGTGTCTGAGGCTGTCCCTCAACCCCTGCCACTTCAATTCCAACATGCCACGGCCCAAATCCTGTGCTAAGGTGGCAGATCCACTACTATTTCCTAGAAAGGA